TACATATAATTACAGGTGATATAAACATTGACTTATTGTCAGATAATAAATATATAGAAGAATATAAAAGCAACTTAGAATACTTTGGTTTTGTATCGTATATAAATGACGTAACAAGGCCAGATAGTTTGACGTGTATTGATCACATATTTGTAAAAACAAATCCAAAGCAACATAACAATATAAAATCATTTATTTTTTATGAACAAATAACAGATCATAGACCTATTGCACTTTCACTAAACGTAGGTTATAAGGGTGATATTAAAACAAAAGAGGTGTATCATAAAAAGTATATTAAATATGATAGTTTAAGAGCAGACTTAAAAAATGAAATATGGTCAAATATATACCAACATAATGAAGTAAATTATATTTCCGAAATTTTTATTAACAAATTAAAAGAATTAATAAATAAAATCACAACGAAAATAAAAATAAAAAAAGAAAAATTTGCTAAGAAAAAATGGATAAACAAAGAATTATTAACGTCAATAAACGAAAAAAATAAAATGTATAAAACTTTAATTAAAAACCCAAATGATATACAATTAAAAGAAATTTATATAACTTACAAAAATAAACTAAATAAACTTATAAAAAAGGCTGAAAAATTGCATATTCAAAATGAAATTAAAAAAAGCAATAATAAATCTTCAGCATTATGGAAGTGTGTAAATGAGGTATGCAACAAATCCAAACCTAAAAACGAAATAAAAAAAATTGAGTTACAAAATGGTGAAATTACAACAAATAAATATGATATGGCAAACGAATTTAATAAACATTACAGCAAAATTGGAGAAAAACTTGCCAGTCAAATAGAAAATCCTATAGATTTTACAGATAATAAAGGAAAACTCGAAAACAGTATATTTTTATATCCTACTTACGAGGGGGAACTTATAAAAATGATTGAACAACTAAAACTAAAAAAAGCTCCAGGAAATGATAATATAAATTCAGAAACATTAAAAAATATTTCAGACTTAATTGCACCTCCACTAACACATATAATTAATTGTTGTTTCGATACAGGAAACTTTCCAAATATTTTCAAAATTAGTTCTATAAAACCATTATATAAAAGTGGAAATAAACTTAAAATAATAAATTATCGACCAGTATCCTTATTATCAAATGTAACAAAAATAATAGAAAAAATCATAAAAATTAGACTAAATAAATTCACAGAAAAATATAAAATATTATCAGAACATCAGTATGGTTTTAGAGATGGAAGATCTACAGAAGACGCAATTTATAAACTTACATCCTATATCTATAAGTCAATAGATTCAAATAAACCCTCTTTAGGTATTTTTGTCGATCTTTCAAAAGCCTTTGACACGGTATGCCACATTAAACTGCTTGGAAAATTGGAAAATATCGGGATTCGAGGAAAAGCATATGATCTGTTGAAAAGCTACCTGTCGGAGAGAAAACAAACTGTAAACTTAGATGGCATAGTCAGTAGTGAACAAAAAATAACTTACGGGGTTCCTCAGGGTACAGTACTAGGGCCTGTATTATTTACGATATATATAAACAACTTACTGCTCCAAAATTCTCAAGGAACTATACTAAGCTTCGCAGATGATACTGTAATTTTATATAGTGATGAAACTTGGGAGAACTTAAAATTAAAAGCAGAATCTGATTTTACCAATACTTTAAAATGGTTTAAATATAATAAATTAACACTTAATGTGGAAAAAACAAAATACTTACCCTTTACCTCTTACAGCCATAAATTACCCAATTTTGGGTTATTAATAATCAACCAAAATGTTCAAATTCCGGAAGCCAGCTCGATAAAATATTTAGGAGTAACATTAGACCGACATTTAAGATGGGATTTACATATGTCAAATTTAACTAAAAGGCTACGTGGTTTTCTGTCTCATTTTAGATCTTTAAAAGAATATTTAGAAATCCCTGACATGAAAATTATATATTTTGGATTAATACAATCCCAATTATTATATGGAATTATTGGCTGGGGAGGTGTTGGTAATACCTATATTAATTGTCTTAATTTCGTTCAAAAAAAAATCCTAAAAATTATACTAGGGAAAGACCGAACTTATTCTAGCAATAACTTGTATACAGAAATCGCAGTATTTGACATCAGACAGCTATACTGCCTACAAATGCTGTTAAATATTCATGAACGAAAAATCACAGTTACGCTTTTAGATCACCCTTATAACACACGATGCAAAGATAACACTGTTGTAGCTCCAAGGTGTTTAAAAACCATTGGACAGAAACACTGCAATTATTTGGGACCAAAAGTTCTCAATTTGGTACCTGAGGAAATAAAAAATATTTGTAATTATAATTTATTTAAACAAAAAACAAAAAAGTGGATATCAAATTGTGACAGAGAAATATTTCATAAGATTGTTAATCAATTGTAGTACAAACACGTTTTAAAAACAATGTACCTAGTACTTGAAATAAATTTATTATACTTACCTTTTACTGACATTCACCCAAAATTGACATTTACCCGAAAGTGACACATAATTACCCACCGGATTTGAAAATATGTATTAGAATTTTGTTTATTTTAATTTAGGATACAAATAAGTTTGCTTGTAAGAAAAAAAAAAGAAAAAAAAAATTTGTTTATAGTTTTAGCTATCGTTTTAGATTTTAGGAAACGGATATATCACATACAAGCTGTAGTTGATACAGCTTCTGTGATTCCATTGTTTATTTACAAATGATTTATGTTTATATTACTTACATGTATATTTTCGTGAATAAACATTATTATTATTATTATAATTAAATTCCTTAAGACCAATCATATGTGACGACTATGGCGAAGGAGCTTTCCTTGTCTACTCGAGAAAGAACGGAATAATGTTTCTAGTGTATTGGTGAGAATAGGTGAACTTTCTAGCACCTTCGCCAAACTTTTAAATTTGTATATAAATATTGGTGGAGGACCAAGCAGGATCAGTTATTATATGGACAGTGAAGATAAATAGTGAACAGTTGAAAGACATTCGAAATATATATAAATTAGAATAATAGTATTATAAAATAAATATGTGTTTAAATAATTTAATAATAAATAACTTGTTGTTCAAAATAAACAAACATCACAATACATTGATAAGAGCACATTCCAATGTATTCCAATTAGTAAAGTGTCTACTTAAAGGAGCAGAGTATTCTGAATACGTTTACGATAGATCCAATTTATATTTAGAAGGAAAACGATTAATTTTTTATGTTTATTTTATTTTATAAATTATTAAAATTCATAAATAATTTTAAAATTATTTATTTTTTCCTAACTTAAAATAATTTTTTAAATTTGTAGATTTTCGTTAGCGTGTCATAGAAAAAATGTACTGTACAACTCAAGTGGATTGTCCATATCCACTCTTGTTGCACAAACTACTATTTCATGACTGCAAAAATGTAGGAAATTTTTGTGATGAAAATTTTTCAGTATTTTCACCTGATATAAATATATATTATATACAATATATTATCCATACTCATAGATTAGCTAACCAGAACTTTTTACCTAACTTCAATATACCTCTTACTACTAGAACTATTACATATTATAATAGATGACTACGGCTAGGGCTTTAGCCCCCCAAATCTGATGACAACTTCGCCCATGAAGTTCCCCTGCCATACTCAATGCGTGAAGAGATGCGTAAAATTAGTAACAGTCATCTTCTTTAGTAATTGGTCCAGATTCAAGAGACGGCTTTATTCGCTCAAGAATAAAATCAAAAGAAATTATACCAACATATAAAAGTAAACGACAGTTTAAAATTCAGTAAATGTTTTTATTTTATTACTGTTTTTTTTTTGTACTTGATGTGTTAGGTTTTTATATTTGATTTGTAAGCTTTTATGTTTGATTTATTAGCTTCTTATGTTTGTTTTCTTTAGGTACTTTTTACCATTTTTTAAATAAATGTGTAAAATTTATTTGTTGTTCAATTAATTTTTACGTTATCTTTTAAAGACAAAAGGATTAAATATTGGTTAAAATGGGTAGTAGAATGTGACACTAAAATGTAACTTTCAGCTTTGCTTTCAGTAGGTATAATACGTCAAAATTTCAAACTTTAACTTTTCACCCCTAAAGGGGGCGGTAGAGGGCTGAAAATGTGGATTTAGAAATTTAACAGAAATTACGAAAAGTAAGCACAGCAAAACACAAGTTTTGATAGGTACTGTAAACTTAATTTTTATATTTTTTAAAAACATGCCTATTTCGGTCCAGCCTAATAAAAAATCTAAAGTAAAAATAAAGGATAATGAGAAAAATTCACTTAATAATGTACGGACAAATTTTTACTATCTCTTAAAAAATTCACGTTAGTGTGGAGGACTCATAATTGTTGTCTAAAAATCGCAACACCTTGTATATGTAAAAATGTGTTTAACTTTTTCAATTAAAAAGAAAACTCGAGATCACTTTTTTGTCAATATCAATACTTTCTGTATAGATGCTCTAAAAAGGACGAGCAAAAAATTATAATTTGAAATTCTTCGGAAAACTTCTCGCGACTTCTTAATAACATTTTTTATAAACCTCACCTATTTTTACTTAATTAAACTCCGTTCAAAGTAAGTTAGCAATTAACAAAACCTTAAACGCCTTTAATGAGGTGCATAAGTATTCCAATTTATTTTGTATCGACTTTGAAGCGACGGCACAGCTCGGAGTTCGAGAACGAATAAAGGAAGTAAACAAGAAGTTCGGAGAGTGCGCAATGATCCGCAATCACGTTTGATAAACTCCGAGGAATGTAGTATGGTATACTTCTCTTCAATTGCACTCTATCTTAAAATTATCTGCTTCAAAAATGGATTTTTCGATTTATTTTTATCGATTATCATAACATTAGGAAACTTCGTTGCTTTCAGTTTACTCAAACTTACAAAAAATTATTCGAAAATGGAATTTTGAAGGTTGTGTTAGGATTTCAAAACTTTTGGAATGATTTAATGAATAGTATTATAAAAATGTGCGGATTTGAAGTAACCGACATTAGTGATGTAAGAAGTGGTGCTTAGTTTTTCATTTAAATATAAACATGTTTTTGTTTTTTTTAATTTTTTGTAAAATTGTGTTCTGTGAAGGGTGAGTATTTTTTGATGATTTCTTAGTAAGCATGCGAATTTTTCTCTTTCTTTTTTTGCTTTTTTAAACGCTCATGTTTTATGGATTAAGGTTACAGTTATAATTTTTGTTTGTTTAGGTGTTATTTATAATAGGAGAATGAATATCTTTCTCTTTATTTATTTATTTATTTATTTATTTATTTATTTATAATTGAACATATAGATACTTATTCGCATTTAAAAAACCTTTGGTATGTAGACATTAAACGATTTAGTATTTGTTCAGTTGTAACTTGTTAATAAAAGAAGCATAAGTGTAAAAAAAAATTATTTCTTTAAGTTAGGTATGTCTCTTTTTCTATTTTTATTTTGTTAGTTTTTTGAGTGTTTTTGTTTTTGTTTAGTTTTTTTTTGTTTTGTTAAAATGGTGTGTTTAATGTGTAAACTTTTTTACGGCTATATATAAAACTAGACCTTCTCAACATTTTTTTAATAAGAAATAAAATACATTTTCTTATTTTAACGTAAAGTAATTAATAATTTAGGTATCAGATCCTTATGATCTGATAAGACAAAAGGTAGTAATACCCTAATTATTTTAAGAAAATGTCAAACAATAAACAGTTATCTTGAAGAGAGCTGTCATTTTATTTTTATAAATTATAAAAGTAATTAAAACCCTAAACTTGCAAGGAATGCTCTTTTCCTTACTCGTTAAACAATATACTATTTTTTTTTTTGGTTGATTTCTTGATTTTGTATTTAATATAAAGGGTGTCCTAGAATTTACCAGCTTAATGAAGACCTCAGATATTCAGATATTCGATGTGATTTTATCGACACTAGTGATCCTACAGGAGTGTCTAAATTTTTCTTTTTTTTAATATTTATGGAGAAACTATCCAATCGTCTAATAAATATGATACTAAATTTACTTATGAGATAATGAAATTTTATATATCATTAATCATTTGAGTATGATTGAGATACAACCTTGACAGTTAACATAACTCTTCATAGAGGAAATCAACGACGAAAAACTACTAATCAAATCCATTTATTTATAATTAAGTTCTTATTTATTGGAAGCATTCAGATTGTGTATTATACAGGGTGTCCCGAAATTAGACTGGGAAGAAGTGACTGCACAAACTAATGCCAATAGTGCATTAGATGTCTTCTATAATATTTTAAGTAATATATTTCAAATCGTTTACCAAAATTCAGTTTATACCAACACTATAATAAATATCCTAAATGGTACAATACAGAAATAAAAGAGCTTATTAAAGTTAAAAAAAAATTAAGTAAAATTAGGCGAATTTCAGATTTGTACCAAAATGAATACATAGAAATAAGGAGAAAACTTAAATCCCTGACAAAAATCGAATACAAAAAATATATTAAGAATATAGATAATAAAAATATAAAGATTTTTTGGAATTATATTAATACAAAGAGAGGTAAGAATACAGGCAGTTGCAGTTTTACTCTCAATGACAATGAAATTAAATCTCAAGATACCGCAAAATATTTTGCAGATTTTTTTACCACTACGTACTCATTAAATAAGTCAAAATATTCTCTAGAAAATGAAAATTATGAACTCTTGGTTAATGGCTTGACAATAGGTAAATACAATAAATGAATCTGAATTCGAGAGACACTAAAATGGTGGTTCCCACCTTATCGAGATTGAGGCCCACAAGGGTAAACTCGTAGCGTAACAAAAACGAGAAATGATTAAACTTGGAACGAAATACCGAAAGTCGATAGTAGTATTAGCACGTTGAATTTTTTGGTTTGTGAAGCATTGGCATTACTTAGGTTAAACCATGTGATGATTTTCACAAGCCTTGATTTTTAAAACCATTCTATATCGCCTTTTGATTAGGGTTTAAAAACTTGTTCAAACAATTTATCCAATAATAATTGGCCCCTTTGCCTCTTAAGCCTGCTCTATAAGGGTCATTTGTACCGCTATTTGTTAAGAAGCAGGCGAAGCTTAAAATGACATTTTTACATACAAGCCTTGAAGAGATTTGAAATGGACTTCGATGTTGAGTAGAAGGAAAGGAAATTTACGAATGACTCCTGGGAATAACACATGGATAACTCGATTTTCCTTAAAAGAAATTTATTCCGATCCCAAAATGCACTTATCCATTCAAGTAATTCAAGCCAATATGCTTTTCAGACTAGTACCGATGTACATTTTCATATATTCGATGAACTTAGGTGGAAAAATCGGTTTAAAATTCGATTTTTCCTTATAATATTACGCCCTTATTTTAACCCTTTAGCAACTTACAACGTTAAAGATTTTGGTTTTCCGAAACCTAGTTCTATTAGTTAATCATTAAGTAAACCTTTACCTTTAATTTTTGTTAAAGAAAATAAAATATTTCATAATATGTAAATTTAGTTTCGTTTTACTCAAAATCGATGTATTTTCAACGCTCTTTAAGGCTTGTATGATAAAATGAGGCACTTAAACCTGTCACTATAGAAAGTACACACTTTTCTCGCTCACATCAAGGAGGAAACTCATACTTTCCACCGTAGGGAGGAAAAGAACGTTTCCCCCTAGAGAGGAAAGTACTTTTCCTCCTCAGTTTGACTATGTTGTAAATGATAAAACTTGTGAATCTATTATATTCAAATTGTTTCCGTAATTTTTAGAACATCTTGTTTATCCTGTATTATGGTAAAAAACATAAATGTTTTAACGTTAGGTTTTTAAATAAAAATTTCAACTTCAGGATTCTTAGAGATGCTTTTTGAGTTAAGAATAAGAAAATCAAAGTATGCTGTGGCTCACTGACAGTACACACGGCGATTTTAAATTTAGGATTCTTAGTCGTGATCACGGTGTACTATAAAGGTATTTCAACTCCCAAATAACATACCAAAACCCGTCTTACTTAGGGCAAAAATCCGCTAGGTTCGCTAGTGTCGTTACGGCGGAATATTGCGGCAATCTTTTTATCTGTCAGAAAAAGTGCAATCATAAAAATAGTTCTTCTATGATGAAAATTCGAGTTAATATGAAATGAAAAATTACAAAACTATCAGAAGAAGTACAGATGAAAAAATTAATGGTCAACAAATAAGTTTATTGTTATTGTTGGTTGCTTATAAGTGTTTTTGTTTTAAACAAGCTACACTGATGTGTGCGTTTATAGGATCAAAAAAAAGTGTTCAAGATTTAATAAATATGCTCCAATTAAGTTACAAGTTGCTGCTAAATAAGTGAAATGGGGTGTTTATAAAAAACAGCTGATTTTGTTTTGTGTTCAAATATTACCTTTGGCTTTGGCACAAACAGCAATACAGTGGGTTACTGATTATAAAATGAAGAAGTGGACCTTACCTTAACTATGGTACTCAGATTAAAGCTTATTATTTTTAAAGTGAGTTTTGTGATTTTCATTGCCCAGATTAAAGATATTAAATAAACATTTAGTTTATTACCTACTATAATCAAATCCAAACATAGTGATTGGAATTACAAACATTTCTGTGAAATAGCATTATACCAGAATAATAAAGTCTCACTGGACTGGAGTATATATGTTTCCAAAGATCAGTAAGTACCTATATCAATTATTATTATTGTTATTAATAAGTATCAGTAATAAATACATCTCACAGAATAACAAGGTTGTAACTGTACTTTTTTGAAAAAATGAGATTGGTAGAATATATTAATTAATTTGTTTTTGTGACCAATATGTTCATCTGTTAATTATTAATGTTGTGTTATCGAAGCAATAAAGTTATTCACATGGTTCTATCTGCATGTACATAGAACTTATACAGTTTTTAGCAAGTGTCATTATAGTAGTTAGATCTTCGTTATTTCCTAATCCCTAGCAAATGTAGTCTCCATCCTCCACAATTATATTAAGATTAAAGGCCAGGTTTTTTACCTCTGAATAAAGTTGAAAGTAACTACTTGCTGATTAGGCTATAGATTATACTTACAGGTAACTTTACTCAGAGGTTAAAAAATCTGCCATTAAAAGAACAGTGAGTTTTAGAGCATAAAACGTATTAAATATAATGGGTATCTTTTTATTAAACTTTTTGTTTTTAAACACTTTTGATTGAAAATTATAAAAAAATTGGTATAGGATACCTAGAAAGATTTATAATATAAAACAACATTTAAAAATTCTGAATTAACAAAAGTATGTATACAAAACCATTATTTTCTCTTTCAAGCGTTTTCTCTGTTACCTAAACTAAATACTAGAAACAAAGTTTTAACTGACAGTTACTACTATGCTTTATCAAATATTCTAAAAAATGTAGGTGGCTTAGTTATTTCTGCATTTTTTAGACATAGGATTTTCTCTTAAATTAAAGTTAGAAACACTATGAAAATCAAACAAGGTACTGGCTATACAAACTTCAATTATTATGATTTCCAAAAAATAACTGCCTTTCTAGATACAATCTTGTTATTCTAATGTGACAGATGTTGTAGAAGATTTATACAAATGTGAAAAACGTTTTACAAAAACAATATTCTTGATAAAAAGTTCTGCAATGCTAGATGAAATCTTTAATTAGGCATCAAATTTGTAAAATGTTAGATGGTATGTAGGTATATAGATAAAATAAAACATGTAATTATAATGAAGAGGAAGAACTTTTAAATTTTAATATACCTAGAACAAAATATTTAGTAATTAAATATTTTTATAGGAATTAAAAATTATGCTCGAGTTTAAATGTTGCACTTGTTTTTAAGTGGTTTTGATTTACTTTAGATCTGTTCCAACAATGCTCAGAAATGAGTTACTGACATCAGGATTCTGTACAGTAGATTATTGAGACAGCAAAATTGTGTACTACCCAGTGATTTGTTTCTTATCGTTGTTGGAACAGACCTTCTATTCAATAAATAATCGAACTAGTGAAGTGTGTATTTGGAATTTTTTAAATTTTACAAATCTGGAGCTTGAATATGGATTTTCAAATGATGCACTTTTTGTAGTTTTTAATAATGCT